GGGATGAAATAAGTTTTGAAAATAGGGGACAGGATACTTGTCACTAGCATACGACTGAAAACTGAATTGGAGAATGGAGATCAGAAAGGACTTAAAGAAAATGACCGACCCTCATTGTGAACAGCTGCTTCTGATGTTTTACTTATATTCCAAGAAGGATTGGGATGAAAATCAAAGCATCTACACACTGATGTCTTGGCTGGCAGAAGAGCTGAGAGCACTCATTAAAAATAATTTCCAAAGTGCATATGATGGAGTCATATGAGACAAGTGCCATTGCAGAAGGAATGGAGAAAGCTTTTAGAAGTGAACAGAAAAGCTCCTGAAAAACTGTAACATTTGTATCTACGGAGCAATTTTGAGCCATTAGGAAGGCCAAAAGTCCAGGAAACTCAAAATGATAATTAACAGATTCTGTTTAGAATTTCTCACAGAAACACTGCAAGTAAGCCTGGTTTCTTTATTTGCTCTTAAGAATAAAAAGGCTGAGGAATAAACCTGAGACTGCCCCATTTAGCAAAATCTAATGATTCATACGGCATAAAAATCAGGCCATGCACAACATTAATTAGAAGTAAAATTCAAGTCGATGAAAAGACTAATTTCTCTTGACACAAGTGATGTCATTACTTGTTATTCACTGGATGATGAAACCTGTTCTACAAAACAAAACGATGACAAATATTTTCATTTAAAAAACCCATCCTTTTCATTAAAGGAAATAATACAAGCACCCCAACTGTACGTTAAGCTTTCTACAAAAAGATTACCATCATCATTAGCAGCAAATATGGGGGGAGAGAAGGGGGGACAGGGAGGAAAACAAGAGAGATGAATTTAGATATCCCTCTATACTTGGCAAAACCTGAATAGCTTCCTATTTTTTAATCTGTATTATGAATTTCCATTTCACTTGTAAATTATTAGCTTCCACAGAGGAAATAGGACTGCTATACATAGGACAAAAATAAGGACGAAACATGTAAAGAACAGAACAAAGAGCAGATCTTCAAGCCTGAAAGATGAAAGAGCCAAAAGGAGATGTTGACTACTGCTGCAGAATCTTCACATTCAAAGAGGCACAAAGAAAAAGTTGACATTTCAGACAATCTATTAAAACTGCATTACTTCAAGCTACGTGTTTGTCTGCATTTCACAGTGTTATAATTATGCACTTGTCTTTTCCTTTCTTTTGGGTATTAGTCTGATGCTGTTTACAATTTGGACGACTCCAAGAACCACTCATCTGTAGTTGATGCTTATTATCATCCCAAGATTTTTTGTCACGTTATGATATCGATTGACCAGTGTGAGAGTGCTTACTAGATACGTGGTAAATAATGTTAGGTGAACGATGGTTTGTTCACAAAAACGTATGCTCAGCTACCAGTGTGGGAGCATCTTCCTCTACATCAAAGCAGTTACTTCACAATAGACTGCAACCTGTTTTCTTCCACTGTCAGACCAAGCCCGAGAAGCTTTCTCCCCCCACAAAACACATCTACACTTCTGCTCCTTCCAATGGTTTTACCCTCCAATATATGCATGTCTGCTTGACAGACAACAGGACTGCGGTGAGATGAACCGGGATGTTTCTAGTTTTCATACCAGTTGTGGGAAAACCCCCCCCCAAAACCCCCTGATAAATCAGTGCAGGTGCATGCCTCTGTGCCCATCTTTGTCAATGTTATCAGTACAGATCAACACCCATGCCAATAGCTAGAATAGGTTGTTCCATGCACTAAAGTAGATTCATTCCAGTCACTGATCCAAATAAGATGGAACAAAACTGCATTTCTTAATATAGGCACCAAGAGAACACAAAACCTTGAACTCAGGTGTCGATAAACGTACAAATGAATGATTAGTTTATAAGAAGTGTTTCCATTCTCTTTATAACCACTTAAGTCTTATCTTTACCAAATTCTAATATCTAAAGGCATTTAGCTTCAGAATCTGCAGGGTGCTGCCAGGACCCAGGCTCTGCAGATGCTGGGACTGAGAGTGACAGGGCTCCCAGCTACATGTGCAAATTACAGCTTGATAGAAACCAGCTATAAAGTTAGTACATGTTATGGAGGTCTAACTCTATAGCTGGTTGAAGCTTTTTACTGCATGATAGCTATTTTGTACATAAAGCTTGTTTCAAGATAATTGTGCAATTAACCAGTTGAGTGATACCTGCAATGCGTACAGGAGGCCTAAGAAATACCAGGCTATAAAACTGGCGTTTGGGCTATTACACTGTTGAGGAAGGTTGGCTAACTGTTGGTTTACCCCGGCAGTTGAGATATCAGGGATGCCTCCACAACTACTCCGTAGCTGTGCATATATGGGAGAATCAAGAGGAGCGGGGGGAATCATCAGACCTGGAATCTGTTTCTCACCTTAGGCGAGTAAAGCACTACTTAGCTAACCACCCAAACTCCATACCACTATTTTCTCAGGCATTTCCTGAGAAAATGAACTGATTGGCAAGGTTTTCTTGTTCCAAAGTGGTTGCCTTACTGTGAATGCACATGTAAAAAACAACACACTGAGGACTTATTGGGATTGGATCCTTAAGTGGGCAGAGAATCCTCAGCTCCTACTGGTTACAATCGCTGCTGAGAGCTGAAAAATGTGGAGTACCAGGACAATAATCACCAAACTCTACATTAACACTGACTGTTTCACTGCTAACCTCAAGTGCTGTCCCTAAGTATTATGGTAACAACTCTGATTAAAGCAATTTAAGGAACTGAATTTTGTCACACTTTGCACTTGAAGCTCAAGGCTTTGTTTTTTTTTCTTACCAACTTAAAAGAGGCTACAATAGTCTCATATAGGCAGAAGCAATATTACAACTACAGCAACAACAAATTTAACTATTTGCAAGGTGTAGCTTAAAAGCAAAAAGCCTTAAAAATGTCAGTTCAAATCTATAGTGTCAACTGTCTTTCACAGGAAGTTAGGGCAGGGGCGGGCAATTATTTTGGGTGGAGGGCCGCTTACTGAGTTTTGGCAAGCCATCGGGGGTGACATGACAGGCAGCCAGGGCAGATAAATATTTTCTAAATTTTTTAGGGGCCCTGCGGGCCAGATAGAACAACGTGGTGGGCTGCATTTTGCCCACCCCTGTGTTAGGGGAAACAATTATTCGAAAATAAAACACGTGCATTCAGCACTAACACATCTACAAGAAACATCTGGGGAATCCAAAAATAGTAAAAGACTGCTCATCTCTTCTCTCTCTACACAAAGTTGCGGTAGCAGACCTGAAGCACAACTGGTGTTCTTGTGTTCAGTTGCCAGATTTCAGGCAACAACAGCCTAATGGCATCATAGGCTGCTTGCAGAAAAAAGCTTTAGATAGAAGCGCCAAAAAAGCTCTGCTGAAGCACCCAATCTATACAGATGCTGTGGAGCTGGGCTGAACTAATGCGCTTCCTCTTCTAGTAAACCGCTGGTTTTCTTTTTTCTTTCCATGCCATATTATGTAAACCTATGCACCCATTCACAGAAACACTTTTCCATCCCCTACTATATAGTACTTCAAGATGATTACTCCACATCCGCAAGTAGACCTTAGTTAAGAGAATCAACGCCCTGCCTTTCCATTATGTCTACCAGATATAGTCTTCATATAATGAATTGTAATGGTTCTTGAGTGCTTCCTAGGTTTCTTAGCATAGAAATACCTTGGGATATAGGGATACTGCTACTATATCCTTTGCTTTACTTGGCACCGAAGGAATCAGATTACACAAAGCACTGATTAAAGAGCATTTTGATCTTTCAATCATGCTAAAAGCTTCCTTCCCTCCCTCCCCCACACCTTTAGACGGCAACTGATGTGGCAATGAAACTGAAGTCTTCCAGAAACAGTGGTTATTCTAAAATTTTAGATTAAACTTAGGAGCTTGTCATGTACTATTAGGCCTCCATTTCAACGGGCTTGTAGTAGCCATTGCTGCTAGTGTCAACAGAATAAGCAGTGTTCTCTTGTTGGAAGACTTGGCTCAAGGAAGGCGGTATGGTGTTCAGATGTGCTTAACTCACAAAGTTAAGGTATTTGGCCCATATTTCTCTCAGACCCATCTTGCAAATAAAAGGCCTGAGAGGGAGAGTGCATTTATGAGGGGAAAGATTCAAATTATTTTTAATAAAAGTAAACTTGAACCAACTTCTCACTATCTGAATGGCTAGAAGGCAGACACAGTTAGGGGTTAGCTGCACTGCTAACAGATGCTCAGCTTCACACAAGAGATATGTTAAGTCTGTGACACAGCATATCTTTATGCTCAGTAAAAGAGCAACTATTAACAAGCTAGTGGCTTCCTAAAAGGACAGTCCATTTTTAAAAACAGTCGTAGCACTGTGCCTTTAATCAGGAAGACGATGCCAAGCAACAGAGCCTTCATGCTGCTAACATGCATAATTCTCTTTACTCCAGAGAGTTAGGGCAATTTCAGTGCAGTCCTTTAAATCCCATCGGTGCCAGTATAAACGGGTCAATGCACCTGTTTAGTGTATTTTTCCATTAGTGACGGCCATGTTCTTTTGGCGAGAAAGATAAAGATAGTTTGAGAGCACTACTATTGCCAACTAGTGCACTGTAATGGTTGGAGACTGTTGGGATTCACTGAGGGAGGTTGCAAAACAGCTTTGCAACATGACAAAGTTCCAGTGAAACAAGGGTGCAGCTTTCCCTGTTTTTTTTCCAAAGTAACTGCAGTTCTTCTTTCAAGGAACAGGAGAAAATGTTTTGCAGAACCATTTATCTGTAATTGAACCATGCAGAACTGCTGGCTACAAAGGTCTGTTTACAGATGAGCTCCGTTTCAATTCCCTGCCTTGCTCTTCTATTTGCATTTTAGTACTGGCAACTGAATGTAATCTTGTAGTTCCAAATATGAGGAAGTTAACTGGCCAGAACGCTTTTTATCAAGCCCCATGCCATATATTCCCTTCCAGAAAGAGGATTCTAGAGCAAAAATATAAAGGGTTATGGAGCCTACCTTATCAGCCAACAGGAGGGAGGGCTGGGAGAAGAGAGAACATAAGTTATTTGAAAGTGATTTTGGTTGAAAAAAGCAGGACAATCCCCACTTCCCCCAGTGCTTTCCTGTTTTAAGCTTAAATGTAGTTTCTATCAGCTCTACATGTTCTTTCAGTTTGCTGTATGTTCTTTCAGTGCACATTCCCCTTTTGTCCCATGCTATCACTAGACAAGAGTGAAAGATGCACCGAACTAACGAGTGGTACCATCTCTTTACCCCAGACATAAGAATCTTGGGGCACAAAACAGCAGGCAAATCACATGGTGACAACTGTGCATAACTGAGCAGGCCATATATAGAAAAAGACATATGGATGAGTGAGAAAAAGTTGCCAATCTTGGAGCTACATCATTTCTAGGAGCTGTGTCATATGTTCGCAGATTTTTTTTAATCAGAGAAATCTGCTTTAACTTTCCCAAGATTAATCCAGGCTACGTGCCCATGGCTTTACTACGTCACCTGAAGAATCCCTTGAGCAAAGACGACTCCTTCGTTGGTCTGATTTTTAGTTGATCCCAATCAGCTGGTAAATGCTTTGCAGTATAATTACACAGAAATGGTCCAATGGCTACCTTACCCACCTGAGTCCTCGCAAAACCAGAGTGTTACAACTCCCTTGACAGAATGACATTTTCACTCTGGACACTGCTCAGTCACCAATAAGGTAAGTCCTTCTGTCATATGCCAATGAGGGCTTATTTGGCAGCTTGATCATTCTCAACCTCTAAACTGACATCCTGCTTGCACTGATGAGGTAGTCAGTCTGGCAGCAGACTATATCTTTATATACAGGCAAGAAACTAGGGGAAATAAAAGTTGGAAAAGCAAAGACAGGACCACCAGAAATAATGGAAGCACCAGGCAGGGGAAGAAGAGAAACCTGATGGGAGAAAAAGTGATTGTTCTTCAATGGAAGAGGCCATTTAGCTAAACAAAGAACAGTATATACCAGATCCATACCTGCAGCTCAGCTGTCTAAAAGACAGAGCAAAGGAAGAAATGTATTCACTAAAGTAACTTAACATTGCAAATGTGTTGTCTGGTTAAAAGGTAAGACGTGGAACCTAAAAAAATCTACAAAAACACAAAACAAAATGAGGGCTCAGTTGCCAATATATTTTTATAAAAAAGAAAAAAAACCTTTGGGAAAGAACTGCACGATGACTGAGAACAAATCAATGCTATGAGCATGTTGTTACATATTTAATGTAAAGCAGTCATTTAGACCTATGAAATTCTGTTTATTCTTTGCTGAAGCCTGGAAGAAGCCTTGTAAATGAAATGACTTGCTTTTTGAACCAGCTCAGACATAATTTCCACTTATTTGTAGGAAATACAGTTTTTGTGGCTTTGGTCAATATAAGAGACCAAAACTAGCATTTTGTATTTCAGAATTTTAGAAGTGTTGTAAGAAAGTATTATGTTGAATGGGACCTTAACGTCATTATTGTAACAAGTTTGCTTATTTGCTTTTTAAGAGGATGTTTGGCCATTTGTTTATCTAACAAAGGTCAACAGAACATGCAGGAAAAATATGAATGAAGAATATCATTTTTGCCTCTTCCAAATACTTTTAGCAACGCAATGAAAAGAAGCAATTCAGTGTTACGAAATAGTGTTTATATGCTCTCCTATGGATCTGTTTTGAATACTCCTGACTAAATAAAAGCATAATAGAAGTAAAACAATCCAAGAGAGTTGACATGATAAAAGTACCTTAGCACGCCTCGATTTTGTTCATGACTGATTGAAAATATAATCCTTTATCATGGAAAAGCTGAGAGGCTGGCTACGGCTCTATCTTCATTATTGTGCAGTACAAGCTTGCAATCTGCATTTTTCAATAATGAATCCCCAAAGTATTAATTTCTTGCAAAGATGTTGTTTACCTCTCCCTTATGGCACGCATTTATGCTATTCTGGGCTCCCATGTCAGAAGACGTTGTTACCTGAAGGCTTTTTGTGAGGCTCACATTTGCTATGCTGGCAATGCTCTGGAAAACAGGATCAGTTAACTAAGTAGTGTCAGAATGTAGAAGTGAAAGTCAATTAAAAATTAATCCAAGTACAAACTGCTTATGAGAGATTCTTTTTTTGAAAAAAAGAGTAAAAAGAAAGCTACAGTTAGCCTAGTAAATGTTATCTTATGATTATTTATGAAATGAGATGTGCAATACATACCTAATTGGTATTTCATGGATTTGGGGGATGGAAGTTTTAAGAGTTTACTACAGGGTGGAGGGAGGAGAAGTGCTATCAGCTACTAAGTGCATAACCTTGCCCTGCAGTAAGTAACAGCTAAATTTTGATAACTCTTTCATTAATGGCTAAGTTATGGTGATTCAGTTTTAACTTACTGCAGGGTAAAAGCCTGCCCATAGGTAGCTGCACAGAGTTGCTTGCATGTAATAAAACCCTGCCATCTTTTTGCCTTGTGGTAATTTGTTCTTATGATCATATCCTTTAATTACTAACTAAAGACTGATGCTTACTATTGCTTACAATAATTTCAACTGGTGACAGAATATATATATTTTTCATGAAGGATAGTTATGGTTGGTGTAATAAAAAAGCAAGATCATTTTTAATTAACAGGATACTAGCTTATTGATTTTTAAGGTTATGGACAAACTGAACACTAGGGAGATTTGTGAGGTTAAACAAAGATTCTTTTAGAATATATGTTAACATTTTTTGTCCAAGATGTATCTTTACACTTAGCTAGTTAAAAAAGCAAATCATATAAAAAAAAAAAGCAAATCATGCAAATCTGCAACAGGCTTTAGCCATAGAGATTGTAAAATAGTCATCTGTTATCAGCAGACAGGAATCTAATAATTTTGTATTAGTCATAAGCTAGTTGTTTTATTAACTGCACACAAAAATAAATCCACTGACTCAATAGTCATCTTTAAATCACAATGCGATAATTCCAATAAACCTACTCACAGCAAAAAGAAAACTCTCTTAATTTCCTTTTGTAACAATGATCCAGAAAGAGGGTTAGGACAGGGAGGGAACACTATTCTGAGTTCTTTTATGCCCTAGAACCAGACATTAAATCATTGCCAATACTCAAGTAGCTTTCAGACTCAGCCTAAGAGAGCAATACAGGGTTGATGCACTCAAGCAGGAATTCTGAAAGCTTTTTGATGCTTTACTAGCATTTGATCCGTTTAAACTCAGACCAACAGGAGTACTTTAGGAGGAGGACAGAAAGGAGAGAAATGGTCTTGCCACTGGCCAGGTGTCAAATTTCCTTGCTGGCATTCCACACAGACAGAAAGAGGCGTAGGCTGTAATGAGATGCACTGATCAACATCTGAGCTTTAGAAGATGAGCATTTAATAATGGTACTTCCAGTGGACGTGCTGAAATTAAGTACCCAAAATACAGGGCTCTCCGGTCATGAACCAACACCATGTCTTTAAGGGGTTGGATGGATTCTTTAGCTATGCATATGTAACTTCCAACAAAGGCAAGTGACTTCATGGTCAGGCTCCTATGGTTCTCTTAATGTCATGCTTCCAGGATAACTTAGAAACTTTGCTGGATCTCACAGTACCATTTCCAGAGACAGATTGGGCTGCAAACTAGCTGTTTAGCTCCACACAAAACTACCTCGACCTCCTGCACTGGAGTGAAGACTGGAGGAGAAAGGAAAACATCCTTTTCACACAAAACTTTCAGTTAAAGGCAACGTGGTCAAAAAGTCACATCATCATTTTATTTCCCACCCACTGTCTCAAAGGAAAATAACCCTTCATGCTCAAACACTGCTTTTCTTGATTAAAAAAAAGTGCCTCAGCAGCAGCTCTAGAAATCTGGTTATCCTTCTCAGCAGCACAAGGCAGATAGAGATCTCAGAGTCGTTGTCAACTCCATTCAACATGAATGCTAGCTGTCAATGTGATGAAGTAATTAGCAGAGCTAACCGCAATTTGTCATGCATTAGTAGGTGCATCACAAACAGGTGCAGGGAGGTGATGCTCCCCCTCTATGTGGCACTGGTCAAGCTGCAGCTAGAGTACTGTGTCCAATTCTGGGCGCTGCAATTCAAAGAGGATGTGGACAACCTTGAGAAGGTCCAGAGCAGCGCCAGTCATATGGTTAGGGGCCTGCAGGGAAGGCCCTATGAGATATGGCTGAGGGGCCTGGACCTTTTCAGCCTCTGCAAGAGAAGGCTGGGGGGGTGGAGAGAACGATTTTGTGGCACTATACAAATTCACTGGGGGGGTGTAGGGCAGCAGGGAATAGGAGACATTCTGTTTACCAGAGCACCCCTTGGAATAACCAGAAACAATGGCCACCAGCTGATAGAGAGCACATTTAGGTTGGACATCAGAAAGAACTTCTGCATGGTTAGAGTTGTCAGAATCTGGAACGGGCTTCCAAGGGAGGTGCTGCTCTCCCCTACCTTGGGGGTCTTCAAGAAGAGACTGGACAAGCACCTGGCAGGGAGTTGGACTCTATGATCCTTTGAGGTCCCTTCTGAGCCTAGCATCTATGAATTTATGAAACCACATGCAAGCAATACGTGAGCAATCCTGAAACCTGGTGATGCCTCTCCTACACAAAAGTGATAAAGTGACATCCAAGCTAAAAATTAACATCAGCACCCTATTTCCATAAAAAGAGTAACAAGAATTCTACACTAAAATTTCTGATACTGTGGAACAGCTTATGTCTTGTGTGTGAACTCCATTAAAATGGTAACATAACGAGAGAAGTTTTTTCCTGCAATATTAACCACTCTGGTACAAAGGAATTACTCTTTACTCACCTCTACACTATACGAATTCTCCTCAATTTTCTCCGCTTCTGCTTCTGCCAGGGGGTTCTTCAGGGTCTGCAAGAACAGCGCCGCCTTCCTTTTGCGTTCTGCCTGAAGCTGCTTCTCTTTTGATTCCTTGGAGGCCTGGGCAAGCTTCTCCCTCGCCGCAGCTGCCAGTCTGTCCTCTAGTTTTTGCTTTGCTGGGAAGCACACACAGAAACAAAATACATCAAGTTTACAAGGGTATTTGTGTTAAACTTTTGGTTTGCAAAAGGATGTATGGGTACATAATTACAGAACTCTAGGTAGCGATAGCCTACAGACTGGTGAGAGGTTTCTTGTTCATTTATGTTAAATGGATGAATGCAGTTTCTTGTTCATTTATGTTAAATGGATGAATGCAGATGTAATCACTTCCCCAATTTTAACAGAGGTAACCCAGGGAGAGAAGACCTGCTCTCCTTTCCTCCTTCCCCCAATTCCTGCTCAGACCTACAGGATTACATTTCAAGGAGGAAGAACTGGAGGGAGAAAACTGCTCCTGAGAACGATGTCTTGGATTGGATTTATTTTTTCCCCAAGAATTCAATTCCATTTTCGCTACTTCATTTCCAGTCCTGCAGAAGCCCTAACACCATAGCTACGATCCTGGTTACTCTCTAATTTAGAGCTTGATCCTGGAGAATAATTTATCTGAAGCATTACAAGAATGACTATCTTTAAATATTAGCCAGATATACATGCTTGTAAATTAGCTGTACTAATAATGTGAGTTTTGAATTCCACTTCTAACAATATATAAATTCCTCTCAGTAACTATAAATGTACTATAATTTTCCTCTTGAACGTGTTGTTTCTAATCAAGATTACATTCCTAGACTACAAAAATAAATAACAAAATTTTCATCTTGCATAAATATTTATACAATAATCACTTTTCTGCGTAATATATTTGTCAAATTTAGGCCCCAAGACAAGCTAAATTATTCCAACTCTGTGGAATATTCTGTTAAGTTTCCAATACCAATGAACACACATAAAAAAGCTAATTTCTAATTGTTAAACATCTAAACAAGGTCATTATGCAAAACTGCTTGACCAAAAATACCCAAGGTAAGGCTCTAAACAAACATTCCTTAAACAAAATCTCATTGGCACACAATATGCTAGAAATTAATGTATGCAAATATTGTTTTCTGTTTGAAATTTCAAAATTAAAGCTCCTAAATATTAATTCAACCTGCACCCCTCTCTCTTCACTGACAACCTAAATGGGATGTGTATGCATATTTTCTTTTATCAAACATAATATTGATATTTTTTCAGGTTAAGTTAATGCTTTGGAGCATTAATTTAGATATTTCAAATGGAACAATGTTTTCTAAATTCACACACATGCACATGCTCACAGCTTTTACTTCACCAGTGAGTGAATTCAAGGTATAATGCATACTATACATCTTTGAAAGTATAACTGGCGTAAGCAATTCAATAGATGTTGCATTCTGGCAATTTCAGCCAATATAGGAAAAGCAAATGGGGTCAAGATGTACACCTGACATGGAAAAGACTTTATATACACCTAGCGTTGAAGACGGTAGATGGAAAAATATTAGTTACTAATTCACAGAATGGTACATAAGCAGTGATTTTCCTCCTGTCCTCTGGGACCTTGCCTATCATCCAGAAATGGGCAAACAGTATTGCCAACAGCTTTGAAATTTTTTTAGCTGGTTCATCAGGTCTAGCTGACTTAAATAAAGGATGCATCTGAGAACTTTTATTATCTGCATCCCTTCCTTCCCTCTTTCTGTTTCTATTAATCTTGATGATCACCTGGGTATATGTGAAAACTAAGTAGGCATCAAACAGCTCTGCCTTCTTTGCGTCTTCCTTTAATAGCTCACCTTTGCTAGTGAGTGATGTTCCAGTTAAAATGCCTGCCTTTCCCAGAAATGCCTCTTGATGCCCTTCACATCTCTTGCCAACTCTTAACTCATTTTCCACCTTTGCTTTCCTGAAGCTGTTCCTGTATGTTCATATTATTCCTTTGTATGCTTCCTTAGTGACATGTCCTTCTCTTTGTGGTCTACACCAGTGGTTTTCAACCTGTGGTCCATGAACCCCTGGGGGATCTGCAAACTATATTTAAGGGGGTTGTGAAAAATGACTATGATCAATCAAAAGTATGTGAATACCCATACTTGCAATTCAAAAGGGGTCTGCACCGCCATTCAAAAATCTTTAGGGGTCTGCTAATGAAAAAAGGTTGAAAGCCACTGGTATACATCTCTTTTTCAGAACGCTAAAATGCTACTTTTTCAGCAACACTGGCCTCCTGCAGTGCTTTTACAGACACAGCTTAACACTGAACCTCCAATATTATGTCCATTAGATACATCTTCTGTTTTTGTTTGTTTGCTCGTCCTTCCGCACCTACCTACTTTCTCTCAAAATTGGCTGAAGTTCTGCCTTTCTGAAGTCCAGTATCCTTGTTTTGTTATTCTCATGAATTACTTTCTAAATTGCACAAAGATTTTCAAAAAGGCATAGTCCTTTCCCAGTACAGACTAGGCTGTCCTCTCAGTAAGCGGATGAATTCCTTGGTTCTAAGGGAGCGAGGCTTTAAGGGAAAAAAATGAAAGACAACAGGCAGATCTGTTGGCCATGGCAGAATTCAGAGGTAACTTTAGGTAAAAACTTGAGCTAAGTCTTCAAGGGAAGTTGTCTAGATGGAAAACATTATGGTGAGATTCATGACAATGACTTGGCTCTCACCTACCTTCCTCACCAAACTGATGGTTAGCAAGGAAGCTAGCAACCGAGATAGGTGGAGCAGCAAATACGTTGGCATGGATGCTGCAAATGCTAGGATGTGGTCTCTCAGTGGACAAATTTCAGGGCTGACAGATGGAAGGCCAAAAATCAACTTTCCAGCCAGAAGGTGGCAGGCTGAGATGGCAGCCAGATGCACCTTAACTGAGCAGAAAAACAGGTTCCTGTACTTCACTTCTAGCTGGCTATCCAGGATGGCTAATAGATACAACTCTTTCACAAGGACAACACTGCTTAAATCTTGGTAAAGTCTTATGGACAGACAATGGAGGAGAAACGGGACACAAAGAGGCCTGGTTGAGGTTAGGGAGATTAAGCAAAGGTAAAACAATTAAAAAAATTACCAAAAACACGGGATAAAAATAAAAGCAGCAGAAAGGTAGATGTTTTTGAAATGCTGCGTGTTGAACACAATCAAAAGGGGCTGCAGAAGCTCCATCTAGGGTCAAATCTAGTTCCATCTAGCCGAGGGGAACTAAGGAGCTGAAAGCATGTACCACCTTTTATGTTGTTGGTGTGCAGCATTAGGAGACCGGGTATACATGTTCTGCATAGGTCTCGCCAAAACAAAATGCTGCAAAAGCTCAAATACTTGAGGTATATTTGCTCAGCCAGTGGGAATGTGGTTACAGACAAGCACTCCGAAGAGAAGCAGCTGACCTTGAAATTTCTAACTTCAGTAATGAATCTTTAAAGTTTTTTCAACTAGACCAACGCCATTATAAACACTGGCAGTGTCAAAAGAACCTAGTCTTTTCAACCAGAGCTACCTGGCTTAATCATCATCATCATAACAACAACAACAACAACAATAAACTATGAGTCATTCAAGATAAATTCAATATTGGCCAAGACTTGATGGAGCCCTTCAGCAACCTTAGCTACTAACGCTAAATGTTACTCCATTCTTTTAGGACTGTTTTTAAAATTTATGCTTGTTCAACCTGATGGCTGGTAGTTTCCAGATAAAAACCTTTTCAACGAGATTGAAATGGGATGTTTCAAATTAGAAAAGCTTTCCCTTCTCCTCCTTTCCCCACCCCACCAACCCCAGATCCAATTTAGTTGTCCTAAATGCCTTTTCCCAAACGCGTATTAGTTTCCCATAAAAACCCTCTGCTGGCCAGAGACCAAGTAAGACATGTTGGATGCAACAGGCATTAATTTGAGTTGGGGAGGGGAGCCAAAAGGCTTCCTAACTGAAATTAAGTTATACATTTGACTACAGAATTGACACAGTTGCTAAGACGTGCTAAAGTTTACTGAGCAACTGCGTAAGAACTCTTACTTACCACCTGCAGAAAAGCTAAGTGTTTCTAGAGGACTGGGGTTTTGATTTAAAAAAAAGAGTTAAAGCAGATATGCTTCCATTATGAATAATGACTATAGAACCCTGGTCAAACCATTAACTTTTGGTGGAAAAAAAAAATCTGCTTCAGTAAAAGTGCATTCTGGATAATTATTCATAAACCACATATCACTGAACTAAGGAGACGTGTAATGCAATTTCTATTGCCACTGGACTGTATGAGATTGGACTGCTAAATTTTTCCATTTCATAGTTCAGATTTTATATGAATATTGCTATATCAGCTATTTCAATGTCTCAAAATATAAAAATCACACATTTTCAACTCAGACCAAATTAAATCCGCTGGGTTAAAAAAACCCAACACGTTACTTTCTATCATCTGTAAGACCCTATTTAGATACCTTAAAACAGTAATTCACATTCAGGTTTAAAAAGTCTAATTGAAAATCTACTTTCTGATCTGATATTTAACCAGCACAAGGTTTGAAAACATAACCAGTTGCTTCAAATAAAATTTCATTACAAATTACTTAGTGATTTTTCTTGTAAAATTCTTAATCTCAAGGAACTAATAATAGTAGCTGGGGATAGCCATGAAGGATGATCGTATTTCTTTAAACTGAGACTGCTCCTCCTTTCAAGAGAGTAACTTCTTAAACTAATTAGTTTAGTAAGATTAGCAAATTGTCCTTTAATTTTATTAAAAAGATGGGAAAAAGAAGAACTTTTACATACCTGCAGCCACTAAAAGATAATTCATCCTTTAGCTACTAAATTCAGGAACCTGACACTTCAAATATACTCACCTCAAGAGATTTCTCAGAGAAGTGATTCTACTGAAAAAGCCCCCCCCCGCCCCCAAACCCACTGCTGAGTCTAATCTTTCACCTCACTGGCGCAGTAAGAGAACATGTACACGTCAAGACCATGGTAATAAATCATATATTATAATTTCATATGTTATTTAAGCTGACCTCAGCCCTCTAACCTATTATTAAATGTAACCACTATTCCTTCTGCTCCCCCTTCTCCTCTAGTTCCATTTCTTGTGTTTCTCATTCATGTTATAAATTCTGTGGAGCCAGAACTGTAATTTTTTATTTCACTAGAGCATTATGTAAAACCATAGTGTATTTCAGGCTAGAGATAACACATCACTAAGACACTATTTTTGCTCTGTTTTGTTTTTTAACTTACTGGGGAAATCATCCATTATTTCAGGAAATTGCACTAAACAATTATTTGTATTTTCTTGCATACCACATGCCCCCAGTTCAGACATGTGAATTACTTGGGGACGGCAGAATGAGGAAAAACTCATTTTTTGTCATGGTTGAGTTCCGATGACAGAGGCAGAGGACACCTGTGCAGCATCAGCAAAAGCTGAAGTTCAAGTTTCCTCACAGCCGCTGCCAAATTGGCAGCAGCTTTTGGCACAGCAACCATTGCAGCTGCCATCCACGATTCCACTGCTCCATTCTGGTACAGAAAAGCAGCTTCCCTGCTTAATATAAACAACCAATGGACTAATTTTTGGAAAAAGGTGTGCATGATTGGCAAGTAAGTGCATCACTCTTTATGGGCAATTTATTTGATTTTATGCTCCTTACCTCCATATTTATATAGAGGCTGGAAGTAAATAAATGAACTCTCACAAGAAAACAAACAAATATGCACGTTAAAGTTGGGTTGGATGCAAATCCGGTGACAATGATCACTAATGTCAAAAAATCATCAGCATTTAAGTCTGTATTTATAGTGACAATATCACAAATAATACCGACTTAACAAGGGCATCACCACAAAAATTCTTAACTTTTTCTACCTTAATTCTAAATCTTAATTCCTATTCATGATTAGTTTGCTTTAAGATTTGGTGGGTTTCAAAATAAATAAATGCTGGAGCCTTCCATTATTTCCAAAGTTGCACTAATGTTTTCAAATCATTGTCACAACAGCCTTTTGCTTAAACTTTGGACAATACACACAAATTGCCCAAATTCAAATAAGCTTGGTGAGGATTATCTAAAGGCTTTCTGAATTTTTTTATGAGTGTATTTCAGGCTAGAGATAAGGTATTAGTGAGACGCATTTCCTTTTTTGCATAGAATAATGAAAGTAGACCTCTGCTCTAGTGCAAGGATTAAACTAGAAACTGCTTACACTGTAGTCTAGCAAAGGGAATGTGCCCCCCACACCTCTTATGCTGCAAATAAATAAATAAAAATATAAAAAAGCAGCAAATTAGTCCTTTCCTACTTGGACTGTCTGGCCTTTTCTACAGTGCACTGATGCAACGGTGTAGCGATTCAGCCGATACGTGGATTGGTAAGTAAACAAACAAGCTGTTTTTCATAGTGACAGCTATGAAGATGAAAGCAATACAGCAATATCGCGTTCCACGCTGAAACCACAAAGCAGTTCTGAGTCCAAGTCGATGGCACTGCACACCTAAGAGCAGCTTCGTCGAAGTTAATGTGTGCAACTGAGTACTGTCACTAACCCAGGGTTCAACACTTTGAAATCATGATGTGAGGCATCAATCTCTCCCTCAAAAGGACTGAGCATAAACCACAAAAAGGGTATAAATTACTTTTCTTAACAAGGGGACAAATTCCACCTGCAAGTGCCCAACGCACTGACTTTCACAAACATGTATCTGAAAGTAAATGTCAGACCAAGGTCTTAACTGTTAATATTTTCAAATGCAAAGGTGTCTATTTTTATGTGCGTCTCCAATAAATGAACTGGGTGGGTCTGAAGTCCCTATCTTTGCCTAAGAAATGACATCTGGATAGCTCAGTTATGACAGTCCAGCTTCATGTTTTATTACCCAAGTAGGAACTCTCCCTTAGTGCAACCTCAAATGTATACAAATTTAAGCAGAGATAACTTTTAATGTTTATGCATTAACTTGACCTGATATAAATTCCTCAGAATTTTTCCCAAAGAAATACATAACTTTGTAGAACACTGCTGGGTCCTATAAATCTAGCTTACTCAACCAAAGTCAAATTTAAGACCTCATTTTTTGGAAAAAGTTTAGCACTTTTCATGTGGGCTGGGTATAGAAAGGAGGGAGGAATCAAATAGTGTCAATGCAATACAGCAAGTTAAAAAAAAATTCTGGATTGCTTTCTGCTAAATTTAAAGTAGGAAGAAAAAATCTGAAAATATGGTCATATTGTTACTTAAGGACTTTGGAGAAAGCTCTGCCATATACACATGTCCATACAGTACTAGCAAGTGACTTTTGAAATTCGCTTCACATTTGAAAGGCTCAAGTGTAAAAGCTTCTATCTATACCTCAGAACAAGTATGGATTACATTTAAAGAAGATAACACTAATGAAGATAACCCAACTTGCCTTTATATATTCAAGGGTAAGTGACAATCCAGAATTGAAGTAGTAATTAAAACTGCATTTGTTAATTATGAGATTACAAAATAAAAAATACTCAATATTTACTGCAGAAACTAAGTTGCTTAATCGATATCCGGTAACAGATTTTTAAAAACTTTTTACTAGGTTGTAAATCCATTTTGAAGTCCTAAAATACACCGCTTCCATGACCTTTTCCTCAGATCAAAACCTAATTATACTTTGTGGGAAGAAGAAAGCCAATAAGCAAAATTAAATCCTATATGTGGAAAAAAAGCCTTCAGATCCATGAAAAGGAACTATGTTTCAAGATATGTATATATAAAGATTGATGGCTGGTTTCCAATTAAAATAAAAAGCACCCCAAATATAGATTAGACTACTTTAGATCACCACAGTTTCAAAAGATGCAAGACGCACTGAAATAGGATGATTAAACAGAATCAAATGCTATATGTACAACAGGAAATTAGAATATTAAATATATTTTAAACATCCTGAACCACAACTCCTAAGAGGACTATTTATTTAAATGCAATAGGCTTGTACCAGAAGCTACAGAAACTGAGCTAACTGCAACCAAATTCTAGGGCATCTCTTACAGTGTGTCCTGGTTCAAGGTAGATTTTTCTGAAATACTGTTTCTGTTACATTTTTATAATGGAAGCTGCAGCATAAAGAACACCTGTCCTAGTCTAAGTGCTCAACATCCATAAAAAAAAAAGAAAAACCCTTCTCACCCCTAGATTTCTTTCTATTCTGTGTATAAATGCAGGTTCTCTGCAGCTTACCCAAAAACATTCATCTGTTGCTATAAGCATTATCTAAAATTAACTACATGATTAAAAGAAAGAAACTACAGTGGTTTCATTTGCTTGTGTCATTAACAGCACCTTGTTGAGTCATTTTGCTTCCAGTTTCCTGCACTGCGCGTGCACAGAGATTGAGTATTTTCTTTTGAAGGCTGTATGGTTCTTCTGTGATACACAAAACATTTATATCATTTTTAAAAAAAAATGTGTTCCACGTTCATATTTACTGGTTACTATATCAACCATGTAGTATTTGGGACAGTTATGCATCACTGCAGTAGAGTCCTTGTATCTGATTAATCTGAAAGGATATGCTATTTAGTCATACTTGAAAAATATTTGCAGGCAGCAATATTTATTTACAAGATAAAAAATGATGACCATGAATATTGCACATGCATGGAAAGGCAACATTAAAGCAAAGATTTGGACATAAACTACATCAGGAACAGCCAAATCTGCAGCGGAGCATGGGCAGCCTGTCTGTGGCTGGTGGCAGATGGGGGAGGGGGTAGGCAGCATGGGAAGATAGGGGACTGAGCAGAAAGCAGAGCAGCAGATCAGACAGGGGAAGCAGACTGGAGTAGCGCTAGGAGAGGATGTGGGGCTCATTTGTGGCACATCTGGAGACTGAAGTTCATCAACTTTTTCCCTAGCAAATGCTACTGACGTCTTCACACTCAAAGTTAAACTCCATTGTGAAATGTACGTCAAGGTGCACAATCCCTTTAAATGATCACTTCATTCAAATCCTTACCCTCCCACACACTCAATCTCTAAATAGAGCAATAAGTGGAAAAAGCAACAGCCTTTCCACAAAAACATTACTGTTAACAGTGCACCGACATTACATGCTGCCTGCAAGAGATACGGGGATGCTGTGCGACTGGAAGGCAGCTTGAAGCACATTTGTTCTGTAGAGAAATCCTAGTAAGAGACTCATCTGTTTTTTGCCCATTAATAGAGCCAGAAAACTACAAGGTGCACATTTTACTCAGGGGTTCTAATCAGAAAAAATAAAAGGATGACGGCACATTACGGAATTCTGCTGCAGCATATTGGGTTGTTGCTGGTAGGGCTACTGGCTTGATTGATTTTAACCTAAGTTGCCAATAGCAACCTGTGGGAACTCCGTTTATGTGACTGAATTGGCAGGGAATTGAAGACAACTGTAATTCAGGACATTTAATAAAAAGGTATAGTTAAGATGCAAAACCAGCCAAACACAGATCTCTTTTTTTCGTAACAGTTTTGCTCTCCCAAGAATTCAGAGTACTTTAGGCATCACGTTTCAAGGAGGTTAAGTGTACCTTGTTTTGCTTCCAGCTCTTCTGGGGTAAGTTGAGGTTTTTTCTCTTCAACAGTAGGGCAAGGAGTGGCCAGTGTTGGGTTATTGCTTGAAACAGTATTCGCATTCTCTTGGCCTTCCTTGCCCTCTTCCTCCTCCTCATCACTGTCGTCATCTAATTTCACGCGGTTCTTCTCCAAGGGAAGGAGGTCATTTTCTTTGGCCTTGATTGCAAAGCTTATTGGAGCAAATGATGCTGTGGAATAAAGGAGTAACACTTTTATGCACCATTAAGACAACTGCAGAAAAGGAGCCCAAGTTTTTCTGCTTTATCCATTATTCTCCCAGATTAAATGCTGAAAAAATGAACCACATGAATGGCTCATCCATACAATACTCCTTGCAAACATAATGCACTCTTAATAGTGCATACTACTTTGTGGGAAGAGAAAATGACTGAAACTGAACACTTATTTCCTTAGATAATTTTTCTTTCAGTGGAAATTTTTTTTTAATCACAACAATGTCCAGCTTAGTCTTTTCAAATATATCCTAACTACTACTTTAACAGTTACTTTATGCCTTCTCAGAGATCCAGTCAGAGTTTTCAGCATTCATCACAGTGTTAAGAAGAACTAAAGGTTTAATATTCTATACAAAATAATAACAAAATTCAAATGTTCCTCTGAAGATTGAGTACTCGAGACTTAGAGAATTTGATGTTTTCTCCTTTTATAAACTTCTGTTTTACTGAACCAGTCAAATCTCATTTACATGTTGTGTGCTAGAGCTGAAGCCTCCCCCCAGTATTCATGTAACGTGCTACCTAGCACGGTAGAAACATCTAGATTGTACTTTTATGCTGTGCATTTCAACTGCATCACCTTAGTTGTGAGGCGTAAAAAATACATTAGTCCTCCTTTTGCTTCAGACTGCTTGACATCTTAAAAAATGAAGCAAGCAAGTAGCCACCAGGTTTCAATGTCAATAAAATAGTTTGTAGAAGACATAAGCTACATTTCACCACTGCTAATTAATCTACCTTAAAGTTCAATGGAAAGAGTCAGTGATTTAGCATTTATCTGCCAACTGCTAGGCTACCTTTTCTGACCTGGTACAGATTTTGATAAGCACACAGTTACCCAGTGGATCAACATAAAAACAGGTTTTTAACTCCTGCAATTTCCAAACTAAATGGAGGAAAAAAGCAAACTAAAAATAACAAGAAATTTTCAGGCGCTCAGGTCTGCTATCACAGCATGTGTGGGGTTTCTACTAATCTAATAAATAAAATGTATTAGATAAAAAATAAATACATTTTTTTACAAAACAAAATGACAGAAGTTTAAAATGCTCCCTGTCACATACAAGAATTTCACTCCAGAATTGATCAGTGTGCTGGTACTGGTACTTATTTAAATGACTCTGACACCCACTTGCCAGATTCAGACAGCATCAACATTGGATTTTAAAGAAGCCCCGACTTAAAAAATGCAATTTGACCTTTCTGTGATTTGAACTTATAAGTCCTTCAGGGGAGGATGCACTGTGTGCTAGTTTATCTTGTGGGGCTTTTGGCAAGGCCTTAGATCAGGGATTTTCAACCTTTTCTCATTTACGGAGCCTTAAAAAATGTCAAATGGAGGTGCAGACCCCTTTGGAAATCTCGAATGGAGGTGTGGATCACTCTGAATGGTCAGTGTAGGTATTCACATACTTCTGATTGATCATAGTCATCTTTCGTGGACCCCTTAGACATACTTTGCAGACCCCCCGCAGGGTCCGTGGACCACTGGTTGGAAGCCACTGCCTTAGACAGAATTCATCTTCCTCTGAAGGACTAAAAAATTCAAATCACAGAAAGGTCAATCTGTATATAATTTTCAAGCAGTAAAAGTTATGACTTAAGGTTCTTAACAAAACCCATATTGTGACATTTTTAATTCAAATGCTTAGCTGTATCACTTCAGCATTCAACGTTTTTGTAAGAAATGTCCAACAGGCGTCATTTAGGAAGAGAGAAATACCAAAAAAGTAGCTTCCAGATGAGACTGGAATACACCTTAAAAAGCCACAGAAACACCCCCCCCCACACACTCCTGCAGTCTGCAAGAGTAGGGGCTGCAAAGGTGCAGCAGAACAAAAATGTCCTTATACAGCACTTAACGTTAGTCACTTCCAATCCTCTGCACTCTTTTCACCAGGTTGCTACATTAGGCATGCACACAGCCTCTGCTAGCTCACTGTGCAGCAAGTCATTAACCTGATTGAATCAAAACGCATTTTAAGTGAAGGCTCAAAGACACCTCTTCTTTCACGAGGGCTCTTTCATGTTTAAAGTTTCTGCTTTTTACTCTTAGTTTATTCCTGTGTTGTCCTCCCTCTCCTCCACTAATTCAGTACTAGCTGGAATGTTTCACCCCCCAGCCCCCCTTGCTCGAGCTTACAAAATGCTTTCATTTGGGCACAGATCAGAATTGGAGCATTCTAGCTCAAGCATGAAAATTTCATAAAGTTATGAGCAGCAGAACACAAATGGAAACAATTACACAGCTTAGCTACCATATTTCTTCTGCATTCAATTCTCCCATACAAAACATGCAACTTATATCTGAAAGGCAGAACGTAAAAAAAAGTTAGGAACACGGAGCGTGCAGAAAGTATGGCATCCCAGAACAGTCTGGGTAAGGCAGTAGGCAGCAAGATCCTTCTGGTGCTACACCAGGGATGCCACACTTCCTGGACACAATATTCCTAGGAGCAGTTACTCTAGATCCACAAGGTTATGACCCGAAACCCTTGCAAGGGCAGTAGCAAGACTGTCTGTTCTTTTCTTTCAGTACTTCTTCATATAAGTTCCTGTAAATAAAGCCTCATCCAGATGCTACCAGGAACTCACTTGCTGCTTCAAGCATACTGCTCAACCAATGCATCTCAAGCAAAGCTAAGCAAGTTATTCTCTTGCTCTACTTGGCATTGGTGAGGCTGAAGCTGAAGCACTGCATCCACTTCGGGCGCCACACTTCAAGGATGTGGAGAAGCTTGGGAGAGCCCAGAGAAGAGCCACTCATACGATTAGAGGCCTGAAGAGCAAGCCATATGAGGACAGGCTGACAGATATGGGACTGTTCAGCCAAGAAAAGAGAAGACTTTGGGGGATTTGGTGGCAGCTTCCAAAATACCAGGGGAGAGCATCAGAGGCTAGGCGAACAACTATTCACCAAAGTGCCCCAAGGAAAAACCAGGAGCAAGTCAAACTCCTAGAAGAAGGTTTCAGACTGGATACAAAGAAATACTTCTTTCAAGGTTTGTGTGACCAGACTCAGAACTAGACTCCCAGTGGGGCTGGTGCAAGCACCTACCCTGGAGATCTTCAAAAGGAGACTGGCCACACACCGTGCTGGGGTAAGCTGACCCCAGCAGTCTTTCCTGCACAGAGCGGGGGAGGGGGGGACACCAGCTGGACCCGATGATCTCACAAGGTCCCTTCCAGCCCTACACATCTGTGAATAGCTATGGCTTTGAGAGGATTAACATGAGACTCCACCCCCCCTTCAGCCTGCTGAGCCATCTTGGTAGCTCAATGCCATGCACAATGTTTCCAGGCTAGCTTCTTTGCCAGCATAGAAGAACATTTCTCCACTTAAGACATATCCCAATTTTGGAAACCAAAACTGTTGTGGAAAAGGTGTGTATTGTATGCGAGAAGATATGGTATAGGCGACACAGCCGTTAATTCTGTAATTAAATGTATATTTATGTGCTTGTTCTTGCTTTGTTTCCATGATTTTGTTTTTAATCCCAAATTCCCAAGTTTGCTTTTAAGAATGCATATTAAGTGTAGTTCACAGTTTCCTCTCCACAGTGAATTTCTCTCTTATGGAAATTCCTTTTTCCCCCCAAATGCTTTCTATCCTTTTATAGAGGCTGTCTCCTGATAAGAGTCTGGGGAAGTTTCTTCCCCTTAAACCTGATAGTTTGCTCAGTAGAAGGATTTGTCTGGCTCATATGTGAGACTTAACTTTTTTAACCTATATGAACATTAATTACTTGGTGGAATTAATTACATTCAATATAGCAGAATTCAATGCAAGGCTATGTACTTTCCCCGACATACAAGGTTTCTTAACTTGCCTTCCACTAGCAAGAGCCTTGCTGGTCAGCTCTAAACTTTCAATGAAAACCTTGTGTGTCAAAGAAAAGGATATCTGAACACAAGGCACAGATAAAAAGGCATGTTTCATTTAAGCCAACTCCACTTTTATTAACAGGCTTTTCTAAAATAACAATAAGCATGGCTGGCAGATAACTGCATGTCTACCTGCACTAATCATTCATCCACAAAGTTTCCAGCTGTGAAAAGTTCTGAAGTGCACAGCTTCTGGAAGAATAGAGATGTTCGTATCTTATAATTGTTTCTGTCTACAAAAATATGATTTCCGAGCAGAGGGAGCAGCGGCAGTTCTAATCACCCATCTCAAGAAGCAGCAGGCAACTATAATTCAGATGCTCTAGAAGGCAAGCTATTGCCATCTTTTTACTTTCAAAACTGTCTTTTATATGCATACCCTAACAAATTGCTCATTTCAAAACCTGAACTGCAAGTTTTAAAACGTATACACCAAAGTGTACAGGAAACAGGCTTAGAAACAGATACGGTTCCTAGAATTGTAAATTAGACACATTAGAACAATGGTTATCTCCAACCTTTTCATATTACCGACTAAACCTTGACATTTAATTTCGGACTGAGAAAGGATTGGGGAGAAAAAAAAATCATTACTGATGCCAAGCCTACCCTACAGCTAATTCAGGCTGCCAAAAAAAAAAAAAGAGTAGTTTTTTTTTACCTCATTTGCGAGTAAAAAATAAAAAGTAAGTAATGTGAATAAGGTGGACTTAACTTCAGTTACATGCCATCATTTTGGATACAAATTATTTAAAATGCCTGGGAGTAGACCTCATTCTTCATCACTGTCTCATCTTTCATTTCCTCAAGAACCACTCTTACCTTCCTGGATCAAATCACCATTTGGAAAGCAAAGCAAGGAACTCAAGTCTGACATGATCTGACAGCTACTGTACAGACACCAAACCAGCACCCAAAGGAGGAAAATCAGAAGCAGCACCGAGCTGAAAGGTGCTTGTTTATTTCTCCAGAGAAAGTTTAAAAAAAAATCCTTGTCAAGGCACCAAAGAGAAAATTATTTATAGCTGGGTTCAGGACATTAAACACTATTTCCTGTAGACTACCAGAGACTTTAACAGTTTAGCATTTGAGAACAGCACTTTGAGATCTGACTCTGGAAGAAGAGATGTAGTTGCTGAAGACAGGACAAAAATGAAGGTACAGCAGAAACCGGGTTCCTGGTCTAAGGGATGGGTGATTCCAGCCACTGAAGGAGGATAGCTATATTACTACGCCTGGGTCTAAGAATTGCCACCGTCAACCTTGGTATGGAAACAACAACTGTTCCCTGTTGTATGCAGTTCTGGAATACTGATCTAAAGCCAGTCCGTTGGCGACTGATGGTTCTTGCTGAAGTGGTTGGTTAATGTCTTTTATTACCCTTAAAAAAAGGGCCACATAGATGAAAAAGACTGGCTCATGATCTACTCTTGAAGAAAAAAAAAAAAGGGCAAGTGTTTGGCTGTTCTGTTTGTCCATTTATTTGGCATGAACCACTTGGAAGCTTTATCTAGACAAGACTGTAACTAACCAATACATCTGAAATAGTTTATGCATCAAATGACCTAGGACTCGTGTCAATTAGACACGTTTGCTTTAATTTGCAATTGTTTAGACTATGCTCATGTTTTACTACCCTCCTAGTGAGAAAATTCTTACTAATATCTAACTTAAACTTCCCTTGCTGCAACTTGAGCCCATTGCTCCTTGTTCTGTCATCTGCCACCACTGAGAACAGTCCAGTTCCATCCTCTTTTTGAACCACTTTCAGGTAGCTGAAAGTTGCTATTAAATCCCACCTCAGTCCTCTCTTCTCTAGACTAAATAAGCCCAGTTCCCTCAGCCTTTCCTCATAAACCATGTCCCCCAGCTCCCAAACCATTTTTGTTGCCCTCCACTGGACTCTCTCCAACTTGTCCACATCCTTTCTGTACCAGAGAGCCCCAAACTGGACACAGTACTCCAGATGTGGTCTCGCCAGTGCCAAATAGAGGGGAAGAAACTCTTCCCTCGACCTGCTGGAAATGCTCCTACCAATTCAGGCCACTATGCCAGTCACCTTCTTTGCAAAAAGAACACACTGTTGACTCATATTCAATTTATTGTCCACCGTAATCCCTAGTTCCTGTTGTGCAGAGATGCTGCTTAGCCAGTCAGTCCTCAGCCTGTACCAGTGCCTGGGATTGTCCCATCCTAAGTGCAGGACTTTGCAGTTGTACTTATTGAATCTCATTAGATTTCTTTTTGTCCAATCCTCCAATCTACCCAAGTCTCTCTGAATACTAGTCCTACCCTTCAGCATATCTACTACTCCCCCCAGTTTGGTGTCATGTGCAAACTTGCTGAGGGCGCACTCCATGCCATCTTCTAGGTAGATGATGAAGAAATTGAACAAAACCGGCCTCAGGACTGATGCCTAGGGCACTCTACTTGATACTGGCTACCAACTAGACAGAGCCATTGATTACTACCCTCTGAGCCCAATGATCCAGCCAGTTTTCTATCCACCTTACAATCTATCTTGGGCTTGGATGATCCTCCAAGCCTAAAGGGAAGTAATCCCAACACGGATCAAAGGGGGCAGGAGGGCGCAAAAGCCCCCATGGCTCACCAAAAGCATCTGGGAATGTCTTCTAGCTGAAAGGGAGGCGCACACCTAATGGCATGGAGGGGCCATCACCAGGGAGGACTATACTGCAGTTGCTCGGGGATGCAGGGGGGCGGTCAGGAAGGCCAAGGTGGAGATGGGACTGGGACCAGCTTCCTGGATCAAGGACAACAAGAAGTCCTTTTTTAAAGACATAGGGGGCAAAAAGAAGGTACCAGGTAACGTGGGGCCCCTGCAAGACACGCTAGGAAATTTGGTCGTCACACCAGATGACAAAGCTACCTTATTTAATGACTTCTTTGCCTCCATTTTCCTGAGCAGGGACCGGAATAGCCACCCCACCTCTGGGTCCCCCTTACCTCGTAGGGGAGGCGCACCTAGGCCAAGGGTTAGCGAGGAACTAGTCAGGGAATGTCTGGAGGGACTGGATGCATTTAAATCAGCTGGTCCAGACAATCTCCACCCCCGAGTGCTGAGGGAATTAGCTGAGGTCATTGTGGGACCCCTGGCACAGCTCTGTGAGCACTCATGGTGCTCTGGTGTGGTGCCAGAGGACTGAAAGAGGGCCAGTGTGGTTCCCATCTTCAAAAAGGGGAGGAAGGAGGACCCGGGAAACTATAGGCCAGTTAGT